CCCCTGGGACCCCTCCCCACCCCGGGGGGGTACCTGGATGCCCGAGACGGTGAAGTAGGGGATCTCGAAGCGCACGGCGATGGGCGGCCGCCCCTCCTCCTCCTCCCTCTCCACGCTGGGCAGCCCGAAGTGGGCGCGCAGCAGGTGCTCCCTGCCCCCCTGGGACCCCCGAGCCTCGTGGGGACCCCCCGGGACACCCCCAAAGAGGGGGGGCACGGGGGGGGTGTGGGACACCCCAGGACAGGGATTGGGGGACAGGAGGGACACTCTGGGACATGGGGGGTCCCCAGAATGGGGGGACAGGGGATGGGGGACAGGGGGGACAGCCCAGGACAGGTTTAGGGGACAGAGGACACACCCCAGGACAGGGTGTGGGTACAGAGGGGACCCCCAGGACAGGTTTGGGGCCAGCAGGGACCCCCAGGACAGGGCTGGGGGGATCCCTGGGATGGGGGTACAGAGGGCACACCCCAGGACAGGTTTGGGGGGACAGAAGGGACCCCCAGGACAGGTTTGGGGTACAGAGGGGACCCCCAGGACAGGTTTGGGGTACAGAGGGGACCCCCAGGACAGGTTTAGGGGACAGAAGGGACCCCCACGACAGGGTTGGGGGGATCCCTGGGATGGGGGTACCCAGGGCACACCCCAGGACAGGGCTGGGGTACAGAGGGGACCCCCAGGACAGGTTTGGGGTACAGGGGGGCCCCCCAGGACAGGTTTGGGGTACAGGGGGGCCCCCCAGGACAGGTTTGGGGTACAGGGGGGCCCCCCAGGACAGGTTTGGGGTACAGGGGGGCCCCCCAGGACAGGTTTGGGGTACAGGGGGGCCCCCCAGGACAGGTTTGGGGTACAGGGGGGCCCCCCAGGACAGGTTTGGGGTACAGGGGGGCCCCCCAGGACAGGTTTGGGGGGCCAGAAGGGACCCCCAGGACAGGGCTGGGGCCAGAAGAGACCCCCAGGACAGGGCTGGGGTACAGAGGGGACCCCCAGGACAGGGTGTGGGGCCAGCAGGGACCCCCAGGACAGGTTTAGGGGACAGAAGGGACCCCCAGGACAGGGTTGGGGGTATCCCTGGGATGGGGGTACACCGGGCACACCCCAGGACAGGCTGGGGCCCGCCGCTCACCGGGAAGGACTTGATGCTCCAGACGACCACGTTCCTCTCGGGCAGGTACCGAGCCGACCCCGCCGTGGTCTTGAACTTGGGCGAGTCGGCGTCGCTGGGCACCGGCACCGAGATCTCCACGCCGCTGGCCACCGACTGCTTCTTGAACTGGCCCTTGGCCTGCGGGGACGCCCAGGGGTGCCAGGGGTGCCAGGGGTGCCAGGGGGTCCCGGGGGTGCCAGGGGGTCCCGGGGTCCCAGGGGTGCCAGGGGGTCCCGGGCTCACCTTGACCATGATCTCCACCCGGCTGTGGGAGAACTTCTCGATGATGGACTCGATCCAGATGAGGGGCTTCACCTGGGGGGGGGCGCGGGGGTCACCCCTGGAGGGTCCCGGGGGGCCCCCAGGTGTGCCCGTCAGGCCGGGAGGGGTGCTGGACACACGGACAGGGCTGCTGGACACACGGACAGGGGTCCCAGGCCCATGGGGAGGGGTCACAGCCCCTCAGAGTGGGGTCCTGAACCCCCAGACTGGGTTTGCAGCCCCCAGAGGGGGATCCCAGCCCCCCAAACTGTGGTCCCAGCCCCCCAAACTGGGGTCCCAGCCCCCAGAGGGGGGTCCCAGCCCCCCAAACTGGGGTCCCAGCCCCCAGAGGGGGGTCCCAGCCCCCCAAACTGGGGTCCCAGCCCCCCGGCGGGGGTCCCGGCCCGCGCTGCCCCCACCTGGGTGTGCAGGCGGTAGGACATGAGCTCGAAGTCGCCGTCGGGGGGGATGAAGGAGATGGTGCGGTCGTTGTCGAAGCGGGACAGACGGACGCACTGGTGGAACTTGACGTCCTCCAGCTCCACCGACTTGTTCTTGCCCCCTGGGGGGAGCGGGGGGCTCAGGAGGGGTGGGGGGCGCGGGCCGAGCCCCCTCCCCGGCGCGGCACTCACGGCCCGTCAGCTCGAAGAGGACGCGGTCGTTGAGGCCCAGGCGCAGCTCCGGCATCCCCGAGAGGAAAACCTTCAGCTTGATGGTGCCCACCACCTCGCTGAGCACCACGCTGCCGTTGGCATTCACCTGTGGGCACGGCCGGGCTGGCACCACGGGCTCTGTGCCTGGTGTGAGCCCCCTGCCCAGCCCTGGCAGCGTCACAGCCCTGGCACCGTCACAGCCCTGGCACCGTCACAGCCGTGGCAGTGCCACAGCCCTGGCACCGTCACCTTCCTTGTGCCCAGCACAGCCTTCGTTGAGGCCCAGGCGCAGCTCCGGCATCCCCGAGAGGAAAACCTTCAGCTTGATGGTGCCCACCACCTCGCTGAGCACCACGCTGCCGTTGGCACTCACCTGTGGGCACGGCCGGGCTGGCACCACGGGCTCTGTGCCTGGTGTGAGCCCCCTGCCCAGCCCTGGCAGCGTCACAGCCCTGGCACCATCACAGCCCTGGCACCATCACAGCCCTGGCACCACCACAGCCCTGGTACCATCAACCATCACAGCCCTGGTACCACCACAGCCCTGGTACCACCATAGCCCTGGCACCACCACAGCCCTGGCACCATCACAGTCCTGGTACCATCAACCATCACAGCCCTGGCACCACCACAGCCATGGCACCGTCACCTTCCTTGTGCCCGGCACAGCCCGTCCCAAATCCCAGCCCATCCCAATCCCCATCCCAATCTTCATCCTATTCCCACCCCAAATCTCCATCCCATTCTCACCCCAATCTTTATCCCATTCCTACCCAATCCCAATCCCCATCCCAATCTTCATCCTATTCCCACCTCAGTCTGCATCCCTTTCCCACCCCAACCCCCATTCCCACCCAAATCTCCATCCCATCCCCATCCCAATCTTCATCCCCTTCCCACCCTAATCCCTATTCCCACCCCAAATCTCCATCCCATTCCCATCCCCTTCCCCATCCCATTCCCACCCTGCAGGGGGGGTGGGTGTGGGGGGTCTCAGGGGGCTCGGGGGGGGTCCCGCCGCCCCCCAGCCCCCTCCCCACGCTCACTCCTGCAGGATCTTGCTGTCGGTGGTCTGCGGGAAGCCGAAGTCCATCAGCTCGTCCAGCAGCTCGTAGACGATGACGAAGTTGTCGCGGATGCTCTCCTCCTCCAGCTCCTTGAAGTACTCACAGAACACCTCGGGGGGGGGACACCCAGCACCTCCGTCACCCCCTCCCCACGAGGAGCGGACCCCCAGAGCGAGGGCCCCCCCCTCTGCGGCCCCCAACTCACCTCCACCACCTTGTAGAGGAAGGAGAACACCAAGGAGGCGTTCCCGTTCTTCTTGGTGGTGGCCACCACTGCGGGGGGGGGTTAAGGAAAACGGGGAGGGGGCGTCCCCGAGGCTGGGGAGGGGTCTCGCGGAAGGATACGGTACAGGTTGGCGTGTTTGATCCACAGGAAGTGCACGTGGCCGTGGGTCAGCACGGGCGTGAGCGTGCCCTCCTCCTCGCGCTGCAGCAGGGCCCCCATGAAGTTCTCGATCTCCCCCAGCCCCACGTCCCCTTTGTAGCTGCGGCTGATCAGCGGCTGGGGGGGGTGGGGAGGGGTCAGACATGGGGGCGCCCCCTCCCCAAAAAGGCTCACCCCACCTCGGGGTCACGGGGTCACTGCTGCTGACCTTGGGTGACCTTCAAGGACAGAGGGGACAGGGGGGTGACCCCCACCCCGGTGACCCCCAGCAGGGTTTGGGGTGGCAGGGAGGGGGCTCAGAAATGGGGACACCCCCTCCCCAAAAAGGCTCACCCCACCTCGGGGTCACGGGGTCACTGCTGCTGACCTGGGGTGACCTTCAAGGACAGAGGGGACGGGGGGTGACCCCCACCCCGGTGACCCCCAGCAGGGTTTGGGGTGGCAGGGAGGGGGCTCAGAAATGGGGACACCCCCTCCCCAAAAAGGCTCACCCCACCTCGGGGTCATGGGGTCAGCGCCACTGACCTTGGGTGACCTTCAAGGGCAGAGGGGACAGAGGGGTGACCCCCACCCCAGTGACCCCCGGTAGGGTTTGGGGTGCCCATGGCATGGAGGGAGGGTCAGAAATGGGGACACCCCCTCCCCAAAATCCTTGGGGTCACGGGGGTCACCGCCACTGACCTGGGGTGACCTCCAAGGACAGAGGGGACAGGGGGGTGACCCCCACCCTGGACACCCCGGAGACCCCCCGCAGGGTTTGGGGTGTCCATGGCGTGGAGGAGAGGGGGGTCACACCTAGAGCACCCCCTCCCCAAAATCCTCGGGGTCACGGGGGTCACCGCCGCTGACCTGGGGTGACCTCCAAGGACAGAGGGGACGCGGGGTGACCCCCACCCCAGTGACCCCCGGTAACCCCCTGACAGAGTTTGGGGTGTCCATGGCATGGAGGAGAGGGGGGTCACACCTAGAGCACCCCCTCCCCAAAATCCTCGGGGGTCACAGGGGTCACCGCCGCTGACTTTGGGTGACCTCCAAGGACAGAGGGGACGCGGGGGTGTCCCGGGGGGGTCTCACCTTGCCCTTGAGGTCCAGGATGAAGAGGGCGGAGGCGGCCATGGCGCCCGCGCGTCGCCGTCACCTCCGGCACCGTCACCTGCCCAGGTGAGCGGCTGCGCCCTCGGCGCCTTAAAGGGGACGGCCCAGCCCCGCGCCCCCCGCCCCGCAGCTCGGGGGGACCCCCGGACTCGGCCGCCCCACGGGGGGCTTCGGGCACCTCCAGCACCGCCCCACAGTTCTGGGGTGGGGGGCGCGGGTGGGACCCCGAGGTGGTTCAAAAGGGGGGTGGGTTTGGGACCCCCGGATAGCAGGGTGGCCCAGGCTGGGGAGGGGGCTCTGCACCCCCGAAATCTCCCTCTTGGGGGGTCTCCGCAGCCTCTGAATGTTGTATTCCCCACCCTGGGGGTCGCTGCGCCCCCAGACCCCGCTGTGGCCCCCCATGAGGGGTCTCCACACCCCCCAACCATCAGATTCCCCACCCTGGGTGGTCCCTGCAGCCCCAGACCCCCACAGCCCCCTCTGGGGGGTCCCGGACCCCCCTCACCCTCCCCTCTGGGGGGGTCACCGCACCCCCAGACCCCTCCGGGGGTCTCTGTATGCCAACATCCCCCACTCTGCGTGGCCCCCCAAGCCCCCAGACCCCCGAATTCCCCTCGGGGGCGGGGGGGGGGGGGGGGGGGGGTCTCTGTACCCTCAAACTCCCATCCTGGGGGATTCCCGCCCCCTCCCCGCATCCCCCGGTGCCGCCGGAGCCCCGGGAGGGGCGGGACCGGCCCCGGGAGCGGCCCCGGGGGCGGATCGGGGCTGAGGGCCGGGCCCGGAGCCGCCCCGCCCGCGGCCACAGCCCCGGGGTACCGGGAGATACCGGGGGGGAACCGGGGGAACCGGGAGAGCCGCCCAGAGCCGCCGCCGCTGCCATGGACCGGGCCGCGGGCAGGAGGGACCGGAGCGGCGGTTACGGTACCGAGCATCCCCCGGGCCCCCGGGGCTCCGCGGGACCCCCGGGTTTGGGACCCCCGGTTTGGGAACCCGGGTTTGGGAGCCCGGGTTTGGGACCCCCGGGTTTGAGACCCCCGGGTTTGAGACCCCCGGTTTGGGAACCCCGGGTTTGGGGACCCCCCAGACCGCACTCCCCAGCAGCCCCCCGTTTTGGGACCCCCGGTTTTGGGACCCCCAGTTTGAGACTCCTGGGTTTGGGACCCCCGGTTTTGGGACCCCCCGGCTTTGAGACCCCCAGTTTTGGGACCCCGCAGATTTTGGCCACCCTCAGGGTTTTGGAGCCCCCCGGCTCGGGACCCTCGGGCCGTGGGAAGCCGCAGCTTTGGGGGACCCGCAGGGGGCTCAGACCCTTCAGCCTCGGGGATCCCCCCCGGCTTTGGGGGCTTGAGACCCCCCCCAAGTCTGAGGACCCCCTGGGACCCCCCAGGAGGCGGCAGGGGCGGGGGTCCCGCCCGGTTTGGGGGGTTCGGGGGTCCCGGGGGTGTCGCCGCTGCCCGGGATGGAGGGAGGGACGGGGGAGGCAGCACCGGGACCCCTCCCCGCGGGCTCGGGACCCCCCGGACCCCCCGGTTTTCGCGGGCGGGGGCTCCCCCCGGGCCGCCCTTTGTTCCCGGAGCGCGGGGGGGCTCCCGCAGCCCTGACATCACCGGCGGCCTATGGGCGCCGGGATCCCGCCGCCGCCGCCGCTGATTTATTTACCCGAACGCAACCGGGGCGGGGATGGACCCGGCGTCACCGGAGCCGGCACCGCCCGCCAGCCCCTTCCCGGCACGGGCCGGGCAATCCCCGCCCGTTCCCGACCTCTGCACCGGGCTCCGGCCGCGCCCCGGGGCGTGCCGGTGCCGGTACCGGAGATACTCGGTGTTCGCCGGTGCTGGAAGTGCCCCGGTGACCGCGGGACCGGAGCTGGCCCGGGTTCCCTGCGGTGTCACGGGCAGGTCCCCCCCGGTGCCGGTTCTCCCCGGTGCCGGTGCTGCTTCCCCAGTGTCCCCCCGGTGCCGGTTTCCCCGGTGTCGGTTTCCCCAGTGTCCCCCCGGTTCGGAGTCGGTTCTCCCCGGTTCTCCCCCGGTGCCGGTGCCGCTTCCCCGGTTCCCCCGGCTCCGGTTCCCCCGGTGCCGCTCCCCCGGTTCTCCCCGGTGCCGGAGTCGGTTCTCCCCGGTTCTCCCGGGTGCCGGTTCCGCTCCCCCCGGTTCCCCCCAGTTCTCAGCCCAGCCCGGCACGGCACGGCACGGCACGGGAACGGGAACGGGAACGGCGGCGGGTCCGGGGGCCTCGCCGGGATGGGGGGACACGGGGACAACTACTACGGCAAACACGGTACCGGGGGGCTCGGGGGGTCTTTGGGGGCTCGCCGGGGGTCGGGGGGCTCCGTTCGGGGGTCCCGGCGGCTCGCGGGCAGCGCTGGCTGCGGGCTGGGGGCGTTTTTGGGGGTCCAGGGCGGTTCGGGGGGCGCCTTTTGGGGGTTTCCTGCGGCTCGGCGCGGAAGGAGTCAAAGGGAAAGGCGGAAAACAAACCCGAAAAGGGCGGAAAACAGACCCGAAAAGGGCGGAAAACAAACCCGAAAAGGGCGGAAAACGGGGCAGGAAAAGGCGAGGAAAAGCGAAAGCAAAAGCGGCCGCGCCCCGCACGAGGGGGAGCCGCGGGTTTTGGGGGGCTGGGGGGGGGGCTGCTGAAAAGGCGGCCGCCCCCCGCAGGGGGGGGGGCCGGGGGTTTGGGGGGGCTGGGGGGGGGTCTGCTGGGTTTTTTGGGGTGCTGGGGGTTTTTGGGGTGCGGGTTTGGGGCCGCCCTCGCCGGTAGAACCGGCCCGACGGCGGCCGGGACAAACCGGCTCCGGCGGTTCTGGGGCGGCACCGGCGCCGCTGCCGGGCCTGGTTCTGGTTCGGACCCCCCCCAAAATATCCCAAAGCAAAACGCGGCCCCGTGACCCCCACCCCAAAAAAACCCCATACGTTCCTGTGGCGGGGCTGCCGTGACCCCCCCCAAAAACCANCCCAAAAAACCCCACACGTCCCTGTGCCCCCCCACCCCAAAAACCCACACGTCCCTGAGGTGGGGCTGCCGTGACCCCTCCAAAACCCCCCCAAATCCCCGGCCCCCCTGCCCCGGCCGCTCCCATGCTGGCTCCGTTCCCACCCTAAAAATAAATCGGAGCAGCGGCGCCGGGGGGGCTGCAGGGGGGGCTCGGTGGGACCCCCGGTGACGCCCCCAGCCCCGCCGTGCCCCAAAGGGGAATTTTTTGGGGGTTTTTGTGGGATTTTGGGTCCCCCTCGCCGCCCCTTGGGGACGTTTTTGGGCAGAGCCACCTGTGGGAATGAGTTTTCCAAGGGAGCCGTTGTTTCCCGACATCTGCAGATGTTTTTCCTCCTGGTTCTGTTTATCCCGAGGGTTTTTTGGGTTTTTTTGGGATTTTTTGGGAAGGGTTTGGCCCCCTCGTTTTGTGCTGGGGGGTGAGGAGGGTGAGGAGGGCCTTCCTCCCGCCCCAGCCTTTCCTCATTGCCCTTCATCTTCCTCCCCACAGGAACGCCACAGAAGTACGACCCCACTTTCAAGGGTCCCATCTATGACAGGTAAGCAGAGCCCCACGGGGTCCCCAAATCCGGGGTCCCCAAACTCAGGGTCCCCAAAATCCAGGGTCCCCAAAATCCAGGGTTCCCAAACCCAGGATCCCCAAATCCAGAGTCCTCAAACCCAGTGTCCCCAAACTCAGGGTCCCCAAAATCCAGGGTCCCCAAATCCAGGGTCTCCAAACCCAGGATCCCCAAATCCAGAGTCCTCAAACCCAGTGTCCCCAAACTCAGGGTCCCCAACCTTGCTGTCCCCACTGGCAGGGTCCCCAAGTCCAGTGTCCCCAAATCCAGGGTCCCCAAGTCCAGTGTCCCCAAACCCAGGGTCCCCAAGTCCAGTGTCCCCAAATCTGGGGCCCCCATATCCAGGATCCCCAAACTCAGGGTCCCCAAAATCCAGGATCCCCAAATGCAGGATCCCCAGACCCAGTGTCCCCAAACCCGGTGTCCCAAACCCAGAGTCCCAAACCCAATGTCCCAAGCCCAGAGTCCCCAAACCCAGAGTCCCAAACCCGGTGTCCCAAACCCGGTGTCCCAAACCCAGGGTCCCAAACCCGGTGTCCCCAACCCAGTGTCCCAAACCCAATGTCCCAAACCTGGTGTCCCCAACCCGGTGTCCCCAACCCGGTGTCCCAAACCCGGTGTCCCAAACCCAGTGTCCCAAACCCAGTGTCCCAAACCCGGTGTCCCCAACCCGGTGTCCCAAACCCGGTGTCCCCAACCCGGTGTCCCAAACCCGGTGTCCCCAGCCTCGCTGTCCCGCCGCAGGGGCTGCACCGACATCGTCTGCTGCGTGCTGCTGGTGGTGGCCATCCTGGGCTACGTGGTGGTCGGCGTCGTGGGTGCGTCCTGGGGGCTCGGGGCGGGGGGCTGGGGGCTGCAGGGGGGGGTGACCACGGCCTCACCGTCCTGTGCCCCCCAGCCTGGACCCACGGGGACCCCCGGAAGGTGATCCACCCCACGGACAGCCGCGGGCAGTTCTGCGGGCAGCAGGGGACCCCCAACGAGTGAGTGCCGGGCCGGAGAGACCCCGAATTCCTCGCGGGAGCGTTTCCCCAAACCGGGCGGTTTTTGGTTTGTTTTGCAGGAAAAAACCTTTCCTTTTTTACTTTGACATCGTCAAGTGCGCGAGCCCGCTGGTGCTGCTGGAATTCCAGTGCCCGACCACGCAGGTACGTCCCGGCCCCTCGGCGTTCCCCGAATCCCCCCCGCGGAACCCCGAGCCTGCAGCCCCCTCCCCGTGTCCCGTTCCCGTGCAGATCTGTGTCAGCAAGTGTCCCGACCGGTACATGACGTACCTGACGGCCTACGGGAACGCCGCCTCGCTGGAGTATTACCGGAATTTCTGCGCCCCCGAGTTCCGGAGCTCGCAGAAGGTGGGGCTGTGGGCTCGGTGCTGCCGCGCCGGGGGGTGGTTCCTGCCCCCGGTGCTGATGGCTGGCTCGTTGTCCCCACCCAGGCTCCCCTCGAGGTGCTGAGGGACAGGGAGTGTCCGGCCATGCTCATTCCCAGCACTCCGCGTACGTCTGGAATTAGCGAGGAGCTCGTTAGCGATTGGCTGGCTTCCACTGGGGTTCTTTTTGGAGGCTGTTTGGGGGTTCTGGGGGTTTGGGATTCCTGATTTCCCAGCTGAGCCACCCGC